ATATACACACACCCCAATAGAATGAGTGAAAGACTTGAATAGATGTCTCATCGAAGAAGACAGCTATATTGCTAATAAACACATGAACAAGTTTTCAGCTACATTAATTACCAGATAAATTCAACTGAGATGCCATTCACACTGCCTACAGGGCTAACACTGAAAAGACTGGCAACGTCTCATGCTGACAAGGGTGTAGGACAACCGCAGCTGCAGCCTTCGCAGTGCTGTTGGGACAGCAAACTGCGGAGACCATCTGGAAAGCTCATCATTGGCTCTAATAAAGCCGAGTATGTGCCCATTCAATACCCAGTCATTATACTTCTAGGAACCTGCTCCACATAAACGCATACATGTGCTCACCAAGAGACACGCACAAAATGTTCACAGCTAAATACATAATCCTCAAAATCGAAAACAAACCCAAGAGCACATCGGCGCTAGAGTGGATAGGTACATTGTAGGATGGGAAGGCATTTTGGTTTCGCTTTTTGTTTGCTTGTTTGTTGGATTTTTTTTGTTTGTTTGGGGAGAGTTGTCTTGGGATTTTTGTTTTTTGGTTTTGTGGGGGGTTTTTTAGTACTAAAAGTTGAACTCAGGGTCTTTGCACTGAGCTACATATGCTTTTTATTTTTACCTTAAAGGATCACATAAAACTCCCCAGGTTAGGCTTGAATTGACAAGCCTCTGCCTCATGCAGTGATAGGACATGGAATGGAATTCTATACAGCAAAGAAAAAATCAGTGAACAGCATTCATCTGCAATCACAGAGATGAATCTCAAAAATATAACACTGAGCAGAAGATGCCAAACACAATAGCTTACTTATGGCCGATTCCATTTATCTGAAGCTCAAAAGCAGGCAAAGTTTACTATGGAGTTAGAGGGCAGAATAACGGTTACCCCTGGGAAGGGGGAGGAGGTTGGGATTTAAGGAGGGACCTTCTTCATGCACTGTTGATGTTCTGCTTTTCTTCTTTTTTTAAATCTTTTATTTACTTGGTACAGAGTCTCACTACGCAACTTGGACTCACAGTGATCCTCCTGTCTCAGCCTCTCCAGTGCTGGATTACAGGCATGGGCTACCACACCCAGATTCAGGGGCTGGCTGAGTGCGGGGCCAGCACAGCATGCAGTACTGGGGCTCAAACCCAGGTTCTCACGCTTGCCAGGCAGGCGCTTAGACCACCAAGCTATCTTAGCCCTGTTTTAGTTTTTTAGTTTACTTTGATTCTGACTGGTATTTACATAAATTCATAATTCATTTAAATATACATGACATACACAAGAACTTGCAATAAAAATGGACAATTTAAAGATATCCCTTCTCTCCACTCCACCATATACACAACATGTACACTTGGAGGGGGTTGGGGAGTCAGAGAGGAACCACAACCCACATCTTCAGTCCCAACACAAAGTACTGATGTCGGCACTCTGAGGAGCCCAAGAAGGATGTTCCACATTTTGATCCTCAGAGCTGCCTGGGACCAGCCATCCCCCCAGAGTCCTTTCTGGCCACAAGGAAAGACCAGGGCATGCCAGAGGGCAGAAAGGTCAGGTCTGGGCCTGGAAGCTTACAGCATGGTAGGGCATGGTAGTAAGTTCTCCTCCAGGTCTTAGAAAACCAATTCCTGCCTACAGTTTTATGTGGTTTCTGGAAAGTTCTGTGCTAAAGATCTATAGCAGAGGATACAAAACAACATTAACCAGGCACAGTTTGTGCTGAGCTGTGTAAGCCATTTGGAAAAGGTCTTGCAGGATGAAACTTTAAAGGAAATCCACACTGGTGTTCAAAGAGGAGAAAATTCCAAGCTACTGCTCAATAAGAACATGAGCTGCTCCATATCTTCAGCAGTCAGGAAGGAGACAGAATTCACCGTACAAGGCATTATGAAATGTAACAGCCCCCACATGCCTTGGAGTAGAATGGATTTTCCACTATGTAACTGTAGAAAAGGTGCCTTACAGAGTTTAGAATGATCCTAGACAGCTGCCGTAGTGATCCAGCTGGCCCCAGCCCCTTCCCTCTATCCTCAGAGTCATTTTTATGTTGGAGCCTCAGTGATTCACCCTGACACCACCACCCTGGCCTCAGAATGATGCTTTCCCACCAACACTCTGCCTAGGTGGAAGAGTGGGTAAATAAGCCCTCCACACCACACGGCAGGTGCTTGAGGCCCTCAAGGGGAATTTCAACAAAGGCTGGAAGAGATCACAGAGAACATTGTCACTAACCCTGCTCAGAGGCCTGATGTATGGGCATCTTATCTTAATTCTCACTGTCCCTGTGCTTAACCCTCCACACTCAAAACTCAAAAGATCCCTGGGGACTCAGAGAGACAGAGATGTTCCTACTCACTCCCACAACACAGTATCTCTTTGCAAGTCAGTCTAGAGGCACTGTATTTGTTTCTACCAAGATGCCCTACTGGGATGTGAAGGGACACTAGGTCCCCCAAGAGTGAGAGAACCTACTCCAGCAGGCTGTAGCCTCTTGCACTGGCCTGGGAAGCTCACGGTCCTCCAGTCTCACCGTGGAGGGCCACAACTGCAGAATACCCAAGCAGAGGCAGGGCTGAAAGCCACAGCCCTTTGGAAAGCTAAGTGAACGCTTTCCCTAGCAGACTGCACTGCCTCATCCCCCACACAAGGGCAGTTTGGCTGGCCTTCGTCTGCTCTAACTCAAATGCATAATGACACATAGAACAGCAACTACAGAGAGAAGAAAGCCACATGAAGAGATCGATTTCCCTCTTGCTTCTGAGCCTGAGAATTAGAGCCGGTGGGGCAAGTGGAAGACTACTCTCTAGAGTGCTAGTTGTTTCCACAAGTGAGAAATAGCAATCCGACCTACAAACAACTGAAGCATCCTCAGCCTTCTTCACATGTCAGGCCCTCAGTGCTGGGGAACATGAAATATTTCATCTACTGAAAAACCCCAGAGTCATGGGGTGGGGTCCCAAAATGCCCACCAACTCCAGAATTACATCTACACAGTCAATTACTGCTATTTGTAATTCATTTCATAAAATTTACCATAAATAGAGGGGGCACAGGTCAATAGAAGAGTTTGCTTGGCATATGCAAAACCCTGGGTTCAATCCCCCAGCATTGGAAAAAAAGCATAAAAAATAGACACTTATAACTTACAAAGATTAGAAAAACCTGTAAAATCAATATACTGTTCCTGTATCATGTTTCCAATGCGGGCACTGAAACCCTAGAAATTTCAGATATACCACTGCTCCAAAACACAGACAGGTTCCTAGGCCATCCAAGCAGAAAAGGATCATGGGCAACTGAGTTGTCAGGGGCCACATCCCCTAGCCTAGGGCCAAGATTGAGAGGGGCAAACTGGACACTATAATTTAAACAGAAGAAGAGACCTGCTGAATTATAATTCCCTTCCAAGCCCAAGGTACACAATGGTTCTAATAAAAATGACTGATTCTAACCCTCATAACATCCTTCTGGTTCAAACTTCTAATCGGCTGGCTAGATGAGATGATTTTTCCCAAATCCCATGCATGGAAAATAAAGCATGAGCTAAAGAGGCAAGGCGTGTGTGCTCACACGTGCACAGCACTCCCAGGGTGGCACTCTGGACAATGCGCTTGTATCTCTGTGTTTACAGAACACAGTGACTTCCTCCACAGCCTGGGATGGCTCTTTACCTGGGCCACCATCCAGGAAGACTGCTGCCGCAGACCAGCCCTCCAGAGTGGCTCTTCTGAAGTCCATTCAGCTGGCTTTTCGCCAAACTGATCCTGAGAGATTACAATGGCTCAGAGTACAGAGCAAGCCACTGAAAAGATGCCATATGCTTTTTCTCTCATTGTCCTCGGAGTTATAAAAAGACATCCCAACCCCTTTAAACACCCACTGCCAAAATCTTCCCTGGTAGTC